TTTTTAATTTTTATTTTCTTCTTTCATAATATAAATCCTTTCTTTCTTTTATCCAAGTACTCACTCTATATAATTTCATGTAAAATAAAAAAATTTTATGTTGTTTATTTAGTATAAAATTATATTTTATTTTAAATTTCTAAAAAACAACTACGAATAATTGAAAAAAGAAAACAACAAGTACAACTGCGCAATCTCAACCACAACTTCTCTGGATCATACACTAATTTTTTTCCCGAAATATTGTTAAATATGGAAACAATCAACCGGATTACTAAAATTCTTGTTGTGATTTTTAAATAATGGTTGTTGTGTATTGCATTGTATTGTTATCTAGTGTTTAAATTATAATGTTATGTATTGTATTTTTAAATTAAAATTTTCATCTTATCATTTTAATTTTGTTCACTTTTCATATGAAAATAAATAATATATCAAATTATATCACTTAAAGTAATGAAAATTTATAAAAATATTTGATATATTATTAATTTGGAAAGAAAGTAGTATATATTAAATTATATATTTTTAAATAATTTATTAAATTTAGAAAGAATTACGAATATTAGAGATTTATTTAATAGCCTTCATGGAAAATAATAGGTTAATTACAAAAAAATAGAAAAAATAATATAATATTGAAAAAGTGAAATAGAGAGTATGAATTGTAGTTCTCCAAATTCAAGAGAACCACTATTCAATTCTTTGTAATTGGAGAGTAGAGGGTATAGAGAGTGTTTGGAGAGGGCATTCTCTATTTTACTCTCCAATTATAGAGAAAGGAGAGTAAAATAAAGGTTGGAGATGGTCTTAGCAGGACTGTGTTCCCCCTTCATTCTTCAATTTTTATATTGAGAGCTTAATGTCAGTCTAACTGAGCAGATTCTTTTCAAATTCATTATTCATTATCACTCTGCTACCATTCTCTTATTTTGCTTGCAATTTAGGTGTAATGGACACAAAACAGATAATGCATTCTTCTTGGTATACTCAGGTCCCGATCTGAAAAAAGATGAATTGGAGCAACTTGTCATCAAGCTTCTCCGGTCACTATCCTTTTATCTTTTTTCCTGTGGTCCTTGCTCCCAAAATCTGCTTATTTTAGAGAACTGTGACCTTGAGAGAAAGTACCCCTATATTCTTTCTGCAGATACATTTGGCAACAGGACGGAAGTCCAGTGAACAGTACTTTTCATGTGGCATTTGCTTTTTGTTTTTTTAGGGTCCGGTCTTTGCAATTATACAAAAAAAAAAATCTCTGTAAAATTTCCTTCTCTGTGCATATGCCATCTATATCCAGCTTTTTACTGCGGCTACTTCATTGACGATACGGTCTATACCAATCACTGGTGCCTAGATATTTTCTAGTTGATGAAATTGTCTTATCAGTTTTTGCTGCTTTGTTTTCTGTCTATCAAAAGTTATTTTCTTTGGTATTCCCTTTTCCTATAATCTTATAGTCTTAGCCATACTTGTATATCTAAAATACTGAGAAAAGAAGCTTGATATTTAAATGGGGAAGGGTAAAGGGAAGGTCCATCCTAACAATGCCCTAACTAGACCTTGGGTATTTCTCTGTTGTCACAAAAAAATACTGAGAAAAATAATCCTAAAAGGAGTTCTCTTTCATTCCTTGAGAAATACAACTTGCTTCATGGCTAGGAAACCAATAATGCCTTCACTTTTGCTTTCTGATACATTGTTATTAGTGCTTCTGTGTTGCATGTGCACATTAATTGACACAAATGCAGTCTCTGTCCAGAGGAAGCTAAGGCATTACTCAAATTAGCTAACCAGCAATATTTCTGATATTGCTATATATATTTGTCTGGTTTAGTAGTATCTGTTTAGCTGCCACCTCAAAAAGCTCCATTTTTTCTGAGTACAAATTTAAGCTTTGAGGGAAACAAATTTTCAAGTATTAAGGTGTGATCCAAGATTCGGGCAAGGGTGTTGAAGAAGCTAACTTTAGGATTTCCTTTTTGTTTATTATAGATTAAAGGGAAAGTAGAATTTGCATTATGACCAAAAGTACAGACTACTAAGCATATAAAATGAAAATCCTTTTCCTCAATTTTCCCCCCTTTTGTCCTGTACAGAAGAAACAAGACATCAAAATAATGGATATGAAAAGTGACTTATCTTCTTTCCCTTTTTCTGAGCATTGAACTAACATCTCTGTGCCTTAACCTTCCCTGTAGAAAGAAGAATTTCAGCATACAGCCTATGCAACAAATGCATATGTCACAGTAGGACCTCTGGCAAAGCAAGTATTGCAAGGTAAGTACCCCTCTCTTTCAGATACACAAATATGCAGCAACTCAATCTTCTTTTATTAGCGTTAGGAGAATTTTGTATTGGATAGTGTAGAGAAGAAAGAGGAAAGAGCTTTTGGGAATATTTCAGCCTTGATCATTCCTTTCTGTTTTTAGCGTGAGAAAAGAATAAAGAAACGCTCTATTTGATATTTTCTTATTACTAAGGGATTCTCTTAGTTGTGAGAATTCTGAAAAATTCTATTGATTTTCTGCCAGTTTAGTTTGTCAAGTTTTTAGCATAGCAGTTTCAAAAATGTTTTCCAGCAAAGTTTTCGCCTCATTTAGTATTGAAGCTGAATTTGAGCTTGGCTTGAAAGAATGCTATAAATCAAGCCCAGAACAAATTTTTTGGCTAAGCCAGCTATTTATCATCTCTGTTACATACAAATCAAAGAAAAGAAAGGGCTTCAAGTCATCATAGAGTCCTATAGTAATCTAACTTCTTTTTCTGGTTAACCTTTCAGGTAATAAAATTATTAAGGTTGAGTTGTCAACTAGACAGACAAGGACCTCAAGCAGTATGAAATCATCCAAACGAGAAAGATCAACAGGATTGAATGATAAGCTTGACGAGCTGCGAAAGGAACTCGCATCCATCCATGGGGGAATATTCCCTCATTCTGTATTATCTACACAACAAATCAGTACCTTGAGTGCACAGAAACCAAAATCAATTGAAGAGGTGTATTCCTACTGCTTTGCTTACAGAGTATAATGTTTTAACTTCTAACTTTTGGTGTTTCATTACTTGTCATCTGATTATAGTTTATAAAATCTTCAGAAAAGAGGAATTTGAACTTATTTAACTCCAATAGTCTGGTATTCCTTTCCATCCATGTCAAAGTAATATCTACTTTGCTAAAAGGAAAATCTAGTGACTGGTACTGTTATCCACTAAAATTCTGAACCCCGCTTTTACTTTAGAACAACAACACAATACCTAGTGTAATCTCACAAGTGGGGTCTGCGGAGGGTAGGATGTATGCCGACCTTACCGTTACCTTTGTGGGGTAGGAAGGCTGGACCCTGCTTTTACCTCTCTCATGAAATGATTACTTTTATCTTTATTCTAAAAAATCAAGAAAGAAAGCAATGGCCGCTTCCATAATTTTCCCAACTCTTGCTGTAGTAATACTGCCAAATCAAGTAGACATTCATTGAGACAGATAACATAAAAGTGAGTCTTAGCATCTGATTATAAGTGGAGTGTCAAATAGGAAATTTCTTACTCTTTGGAGAAATGGACAGTTTTTGACTATGGCCAAAGAAGAGAAGTAGGACAGTTAAGTCGACATAGAGAGTTCAGATTTTTCAATGGTATTACCTGAGGTTGCAGGACTTTGCAGAGTAATTGAACTCCCTGCATGCTTCATAGGCATGCGACATATTTATCCCAGTGCATGCTCATTTATGGCCTGTTAAGTAGGTGAGGTGTAGAGATGCAATGTTTCTTTAATTGTAAAAGTAAATATCCTTCTAGCTAAGAGCTGAGACTGCTATAGTTTACAATATCGCGTTGATAGCACAGCTTTAGATCTTCTCATGCGATGCAGTCATCTGAACAGTACTTTGTGTTTTATGCAGTTGGAGAAGATAATTGGCAAGTTGAAGACTGAAAAATACGGAGGCAGAATTCTTGAAGAGATTGCTAGTTATGAGTCTGATCCCCAAAAAAATAATGCAGATGGAAGCAAAGAGACCAAAGGCAATACTGTTAAGAAGTTGAAAACCAAGAAAACTCTTGTAGTCCTTGAAAGTAGTGAAGATGAAACATGAATTTCTGCATCTTTTTTAGAAATATGATCATACTAAGTACTCTTATTGTTAATTTTGTTGGATCATACTGGATATGTTATTGATCATATAGTACTTATCCGTAACATATGTATCTGATAAACCTTTTGACCCTCGCTTGTTGCATGGATAAACCTTAAAAAGGACAAAATTAAAATTTGTTAACTTCAATATTTCGCCCATGGAGCAAGTGAGGATAAAAGTTAAACATCATCTTGTAAATCATCGTTCAAAACATAGGTAAATCTGTTTCGGCCAAATTTAACCTAAACTAGTTTGCACAGATTAGGTTATGATTCAATCTCTGGCTCAACTCATTGTGTTCTTTCATGCATAAAAGCACATATTAGGCATCTCAATTATTCATGTGGTTGGTTACCTATAAACTCCGACCATCAAAAATATTTGGTAACTCCAGTTATCAAGATTTAACATAAGATACATTTAAGGTTTTGGAATATGTTCTCAACAGGCTCAAATTGTAAATTGTAATTATGAAATTTGCACAATTTTGAAAATTATGGGGCAACTTTGACCAACTCATTATCAGAGGGTAAATTTAATCCATTTCACTAAATTTAAGAATAGATTTAAATCTTTTTTCATATTCAAATTTAATTCTTACTCTTATTTAATCTTCTATCATATTTTTAGCTCGTAACATTATGGTCAAACAAATATTCTCTTGAAAATTATGAAACTCATCGAATCACTAAAGTTTAAATGCCCAAATTTCTTTGCCATGTTTCATTTCTTTAAAGTTTAATTTAATTAGTTTCTATAATTAAATTTAATTAAATATTTTAAAATTCAAACTTAAATATTTAAAAAGTATATACTATACCATCTTTCTCATTAAAAATATATATACATGGTCAAATTTGATACTAACTTACAAACAAAAGGATGTATTTTGTAATTTAATAAGAATGCATAAAGAGGCGACTGATATAGCGAGCAAAACTGAATAGTATCATTCTTCACCGGCGACGGCCAGAGATCAGATTTGTAGTTTTTGCGTGTAAGATGGAGAAGACGGCGAAGCCAAAGAGCCGCTTGTGTACTCTCTGTAATGAAAAACGCGCCGCCTTGAAACGCCCTAAAACCCTTGAACAAGTACTCTCACGCTACCTCAATTCACCTTTTTTTTTTTTTACAGATTTGAAGTGCTAAATATTGTTATTTATCTGAAAAGATATGCAGGGAGTGCTTTTACACAGTGTTTGAAGATGAGATTCATAGGGTTATTGTGGATAATCAGCTTTTCAAGCCTGGGGAACGCATAGCTATTGGAGCTTCTGGTGGAAAAGGTTTGTGAGCAATTATTTGATAGAATCTGTGCTTCTGTAGACGTTTTGTGAATCCTGTTTTAATGTCTTATGACTACTAATGAACTTAGTAGCAATAAATGTTATCCAAGTTTGTAAAGACTGAAAAACTCAATGACGGATTTAACATAAAAATATTTGAAGGCTAAAACCTACTAAGGATTGAAGTATGAATACAAAAATCTTGCCACGCGGTATCGCAGGTCCAAATGTGCTAAGTAGATTCAAAGGATATTCTGTAAGTCTCATTATCAATTTCCCTAAACGGAGGACAAGACTAGTATGAGCTTTACATTTATATTCTTAATAAAATGCAAGAAGTGAAACAAGTTATTCTAATATAATACTGCAAATATGTAAGCTGATAGTGAATCTGAAAAATAGGTTTGAAACTGAAGGTGAAAATTGAGTCTTAATTGATAACCGGAAGTCTAGAATTGACGTTATTATTTTTTTAGAAGGAATAAATTTTTGAAAAGATCAACACTCTACATACATGAGCATCTACGAACACCCACAGGACTGCAAAATTTGTTGTGGGCCCTCTGGTTTTGCTCACTCAATTTCAACCTGTATGAGGAGCCATTGAGTCGCTCAATCAAACTCAACCTATCTGAGTGTGTTCGCCTCTGAGTATGCTTGCCAAGCTTAACCCATATATGGGGTCATCGAGTAGCTCAGTGTGCTAACACCTACAAGCATGGGATAGCTAACTCTGGACACCATCGCTCTCATACTCTTAAGAGGTTGACTACTTCTGCCTCTATGAATGTAATCACATTAATTTGAATCTAACCGAAGGTTTGAGCAATTAAAGAATTTGCACATATGGAGATATTTCATTTAAGCAAGTAAATGAGAACACCTCATGAAACCAATCACATCATAGAACATAATCATTTTCTGTCTTTCTGATTAATTAGCAAACATGTGCACATAGCGTTCTAACATGTGAGGCTAACAATTTAAGCACAAGAAGATCATATGCTCACTAGAATAAACATATAGGCTTGGATTATACATTTAGGCATCCATCAAACGCTTGATATGAATATTCTAATCTAACCCTTGACTTAGGAAAGAACCTCAACTTACCTTGAAACTACTTTCCAAGTCTTTTCTCAACAACCTCGCGCACACAACTCTTCAAAATCTACAATTTAAGTGGTTAAAACGATTAACCCAAACTTGTCATTCAACCACTTCAAGGTCTCATTTAGCCATTTAGAGCTTATAGTTAATTCCACTATCAACTCCATCAGTTCTTGTATTCCATAGTCGTAATACGATCAATAGATATTAACTTTAAATGATAGGCAGTAGAAGAGTTTACCTTTGTCATAGTTCTCACAAAACCTTAGGTTTTTTTCGCGCTTGAGTTCTTGAAGATGTTTCTTGTAATCTAGGGATTTTCCAGGTGATGTTAGGAGCGTAAGTTTTGGAAATCTATGTATTTAGTCATGTTACTCACCTTTTGAGTATCTTGAACTGCCTAGGTTTGGAACCCTTACAAAAGATCTTAACCAAGTTTAGAAGTAAAGTATTTTTCTCTTTCCCCACAATCCTTCTTGATAACATTTCGCTGGGCAAACTTTTCTTGTGCCCCTGGAGCTGTCTTGGGATCCTGCTCTACAGCCCAGTTTCTCAGTTCTCTCTGGCAATTATCTCATGCATTGGAGCTTCCATGGGGAGTAATTGACTGTTTTGCCAACTAGGACTTGGAACCTTTTTTGCTTCTCCGTCCATTGGGCAACTTATTCCATCTAACTCCCCTCCAACTTGTATCCTAGTCATGAACAATTATTCCAATGGTTCTGTTACTCACTTGTGGGCCAGCACATACTTCAAGGTTGACTCTGTTACTCTCTAAGCTAATTTTTTGCGCAAGTTACAATCACTTTTCCTACTAATAAAGTATATTGCAAAACCCCATTAAGCTTGTCAAAGTTACTATGTCTTCACCCTGGCTAATGTGCTGCTGCTGCAAATGGTCCTATTGTGGATAGCTTTCTGTTAACTGGGACGTTTCTCATATGTAATAAATACAGTTTCATTTTAAGCATGTCTTCTTCCTCTCTGATGGAATTAATCTCAGATGTGATGGCAATCGGGTTTGTTTGCAGATTCAACGGTGCTTGCATATGTAATGTCAGAGTTGAACCGTAGACACAACTATGGATTGGATCTCTTCTTACTATCAGTGGATGAAGGCATAACTGGTTACAGGGATGATTCCCTTGAAACAGTCAAAAGAAATGAAATACAGGCAGGGATAAATCTTGTTAAGTTGTCAGTTTGAGTCCTAGGTCTCATTAAATAACTACTAACTCTGATCTCTCCTATGTTTCATCTTTATCTTTGACTGCCAACTTGTGAGAGAAAAACTGCACGAACATCAGCATGTCCACTTGTTGTTTGTTTGTTTTTAACTTGACCAACATAGCTTGTCTTATCCCTCTTGTGCTAGATGCCACAATGTTTTGATGGAGAAAAGGAATGAAACCTTGTCTTTTGTAAACTATAGTGCCTGAACTAGTCAGAATGAACTTCAAATATGACTATTGCAGTTGGATCATCACCCCATCTTTTCTTGGCCAATTTTATTTGTGAATACCATCTGTAAAGGTGTTTGACTTACAACCATATTTCCAATATTATTGTCAAACAGCAGAAAAATCCAAACTTGTACCTTACTTCCTTTACCAGCATCTCAGTTTGAACCATCTCATTCAATGCAGCAAGAGCAAGAATGGTACGTTGTGTGGTCACAGACAAGACAATCCAAAAATAGATGATTGTGACTCTTTTCTACTTCCAGATTCTATCGTGTTCAAAAAGGAACTTGCTCTTTGCCAATGTTCTCTGGCTTATGAAATTATATGTTATATGATCACAACTAAATATCAGAACTCAATTACTTGTCGAGGTATACATAATCCGTTTCTTTACTACAATTACAGGAAATTCATATATCGTATTGGTTGGTCTACAAATTTTTTTGAGTGCTGCTATTTCTCTTATCCCTTTCTGGGGCATAGCCTTGAGCAGTTACTGAGTGAAAATTGAAAACATTATCCCTCTGATGTTTTCGTCTCTCTTTTTTCCTCTAATGACACTGAGGATACTAGTGGTATTATGGCTTAGACATGTTTGGTAAGCTTGCATTAAGTTCAGAGTTTGCTCGGAGTTATTCTAATTCTTGTTGTAGATTTGTGTGTCAGTAGAAATGTAGGAACTCTAAGAAATTACCTTTTACAGAATTACTGAGTACTTGTATTGGTGGGAGGTAGTGGTACATTGTGGAATTAGTTGAGCAAGTGAGCCGACTGGACACCAGAATTATTATTAAAAAAATTGTAAGAGAACATCTAATACTAGGGAAAAATAGTGAGGATTCATATAGTTGACCACAACTAACTTAGGCTTGGGGCATATTTGTTGTTTATTCTAATTGAGGAGCTCTTATCTTCCACCAATATCTCTTGGTTCTTTGACTACAGAATTTTACTCCTCTCGCGATCTCTTTCTTCTGTAGTTCTGTTATAATTTTTTTCAGCAGTTACTTGAGCGTCATTAGCATCCGTAGTTATCATTTTCCAAGTGTTACAGTGACTTTGCAGCATCTATAGTTTCTCACTAGATGAGTTTGATTTTTTAACTTGCAAATTTTTGACCTCTATATCTTCTCAATTTATGATGACGATGTCGTTGCTATCTAATCCTTGCAGTATGGACTTCCTTTAAAAGTAGTTTCCTACAGTGAATTGTATGGGTGGACGATGGATGAAATAGTGAAATTGATAGGCTTGAAGAACAACTGCACATTTTGTGGTGTTTTCCGTCGGCAGGTAATTCGACACACTTGTCTTTGGGTTTGAGGATTTTTTTTTTTTTGCATAGATGTCTCCAACACCTGGCACACAATTTGCACCTTCCCAGCAAATCTCTATGTAATATATGTTGTTGCACAAAAGCTGTACGCAAGAGTACAAAACAGCTTTTGAAATATTTTGGAACTCTACTCTGTGGCGGATATAATTTTCTGGTTCCTGCTATGAGAGTGACCAAGCTTAGTTCAGTCTTTTGAAGTCTCTTTCTTTGCATTCTTCTTGTAGTAAATATTTTTGGAACGCTTTCTTTTCGACTAGCAGTTGCAGTTTCATGATACTTCTTTGAAACTGGTAATATGAAGATCATATTGATTAGTTTTTGTTTGTAAGGCCCTTGATCGAGGTGCTGCACTGCTAAAGGTAGACAAGCTCGTTACCGGACATAATGCAGATGATATTGCTGAAACAGTCCTTTTAAATATTTTACGAGGTGATATTGCAAGGTAAAAGTAATTGTAATTTAGTGCTCTTGTATGAGTCTCTTCCTTCTTGACTTCCCCAAATTATTGATCGGTTTCTTACCGCTATCAAACCAGATTGGGTAGATGCACGTCGATAATTACTGGAGAAGATGGGCCAATACCGAGATGCAAGCCCTTCAAATACACTTATGAGAAGGAAATTGTCATATATCCTTTTCTTTGATAGTATTTTATTGGGCTACCCCTACCTATATACTTCAAATGGCTGCATCTTCCCTAGTAAAATCATTGCTTTGTGATTGTGATCACTTATGACTATGCTGCCTTAACTTGCTGTTACGTATGCATACTTTAAAAAGCTGGACTACTTCTCTACAGAATGTAAGTTTGTTTTCTTTCCTTCAACTTTCAGTTCTAATCCTAGAACTAGGATTTCTGTTCTTCTTTATTTGCTGTTAGTATATTTACATTCTCTTTGTTGAGACACTTCGATGTGTGTTGTGTTCACCTGTCCACTTTAATCTCTCTCTCTTTCCTCCCATTACACTGGAAAGAGGCCCAGGTTTTGTGGAAGAGGTGGGGTATGAGATAATATGAACGTGTTAAAATTGCTACATCTTAGAACAGTTGATAAAATTTCCTCTCGGTATCTGAAAGGAAATAATATTTCAATTCAATGTAGAAGGCTGGGTGGAGAAATTATCTAGAATTCATGAACAAGAACCTCAAATCCGATTCTATTTGTATACATCAGAAAATAGATCAGGAATGAAAGAGAAACTAAATTGTCAGCTTCATGTGCCATATTGATCCAAGTATTGTACTTTTCAAGAGAATAACCCCCAAAAGCAAAGGTTTCTTGCTGACTTATGGCTAATCATCTGTTCATTCTATATGTCTTTTTTGAACATAATGATAGTCATTTAACATATACTGTCTACGTTACCAAAAAGTCGACTTCTTTCTTAATAATGATAAACATTTTCCCAAAGATCCAACAATATAGACCTATACTACCTTGTATTGTTTCATGATCGATGTGATATTTTTCAACTAACAGTTCCACCTCTTTGAACTACTACTTAGAGCTTTTCTTATCAATCTCAGTACTAAATTAATAATATATCCAACTATCTTACTCTTAAGCTTTGCGAGTGCTAACCTAATCAATTAGAATGGGACAGAGAAAGTAGTAATTTGAGTGTTCTAGTCTGCAAGTGCCTCCATTGTGCATCATTCTTGCACTTAAACAACATGACATGATCACCTATCACTATCAGTATGACTTCCCAAATATAGTTTTTTGTATGACTACCATATAAACATATAATGTCTATTTTATATCTAATATATTTTTTTTAGTGATGAAGTTAAATATTTGAAATTTTACTAATGCCAGGCCTTCGCCCATCTATCTATTAAGGTTTTACTTTTCATTCCTGGTTGTGGAACATTTCTTTTATATAGATATTCTGAAGGTCTGAGCACTCAATGTCCTTTGGCTTTGTGTCATATCCTTGTGTTTCATCCTAAAAAGTTAGATGTGTTATGAACATGCAGGTATTTATTCCCCCAATGCGTATCGTGGCTTTGCTCGTGAGTTCATTAAACATTTAGAAAGGATGAGGTACATCCCAGTTGAAATTCTTCCTAAAAAATAATTCTTCAGATTATGTAGTATAAGTAGACTTTGCAAATTACTTTTGTTCCTCAATAAAATACTAATTTACATGACAGACCAAGAGCCATTCTTGACATTATCAAATCAGGTGAAGACTTTCGGATCTCCACCTCTACAAAAATGCCAGAACAAGGCACTTGTGAAAGATGTGGTTACATATCCAGCCAGGTAAATATGATAATTTTCTACTGCTTTGCAGTTTACAATACTAGACTTCTAGCATCTATATGTTAAAGTATAATTTGTTCAAGGGATCAGTATGCTTTCCCTTTACTGGTTATTACTTCCTCAAGATGTTAATGTTGTCATTGTATTATGATCTATCTGTCTCCTTTGCAATATCTACTCGACTGGTTAAAGTTTCTCCTGAAGAATTGTTGATCCGTGTTGAGATATAGACCCTACTATCGTCACTCTCATATGACAGTTTTCTTTCGTGATTAACTCTCTTAGCTTTATCAACTTGCAAAAGTTTGTTCGTACTACTAAATTATTCTTGTACAAAATAGGCTACTTGTTGAACTGACTGGTCCATATATTGTGTAACTATATGCAGAAATGGTGCAAAGCATGTGTCTTGCTTGAGGGCCTCAATCGTGGTTTACCCAAATTAGGCATTGGGCGGAGTCGGGGGATTAATAGCGAACATAATGCAAATACGAAACAAGCTAATGGAACACAAAGTTTACAAAGCAAACAGTGTGGAAGTTTGGACTTCTGAATCCTCATGTAGCTGCATAAATCAGTGTTTTAATTACAACATACATACCTATCCAGTGAGAAAGGCTTTAACTAGAAATTCCATATTATCTGTGTAGCTTTATGTATTTATGGAGGTGGAAACTAGCCTCCTAGTTTATCCTGCGATTATTCTATTTTTTTGCGATGTTGTGTGTTTTACTGATACGACTTTTTTTCTCAATCTACAAGCAGCAAAACTACAAATTCCAATTTTACTACATTTGAACCCAATGTATTGAATTACTTGTCCACCACCACATAGAATAGTCTATAAAGTAAGCTCAAATAGACATGTACTTCCTCCCGTGTGACTGGGGCTTCTACAAATGCTTCTCATCGCAATACTTCAGCAATACGAATTATAACCCTCATATATGAAAGAAATACATAATGTACAACCGAGATGAGCTAAAATACATGTATAAGCAACATCTGAGTCTTCTTCAGCAAATGTGACTTCGTGCATAGCACCTTCATGATACTGGTTCCTGCACAGTCCATCACAAGCTCCATAAACTTACACGAAAATATATCACAGATATACCCAAGAAGCTTAATAGTTAATAGTTTCAAATGCAAGTGTATTTTGACTCACGCAATACTATTAGCTAAGTATATGCCCAATATGTTTGGATCCACTTCAGGCAACATCGCCCTTAGAAATACCAAGCTAAAGCAATTTTGTGATGTGCTATATACCGCCATAATGAGAAGTCAATATATGAGATATATAATTGTACTACTCTCCTGGATTAGTAGTACACCTCACTTTGCCCGGGAATTTATGATATACACAGACCTTACCCCATACCTTTGTGAGGTAGAGAGGTTTTCGATAGACCATCAGCTCAGGGAAATGTAATCATAGCAGTGATTGAAAGGAAAATAACACAATAGTAAGATAAACAAAGCAAATAAAGCAACATGTAATAGTAAAAATGAAGAGTAAGATGCTATGCGAACACTAAATAAAGAGAAGAGACTACCCCCCTGCCTATCCCACAGAAAGTACACAACACTTGGCTACCTACTACACTTCTACCCTAATCCTCAACCTTTAATCTTCCTCTATAGGGCCATGTCTTCAGTAAGCTAAAGATATGTCATTCTAATCACCTCCCCTCGTTTTCCTTGACCTGCCACTACCTCTCCCAAAAACAATTATAGTCTACCTCTCACACCTCCTTACTAGCGCATCCACACAACTCCTATTCACATGCCTGAAGCCTTGAACCATCTTAGACTCACTTCCCTCATCATCTTGTATGCCACAAAATCACTCCCACCTTTCTGATAAATGGTATTGTTGTATTCCTTGACAATAAGGAATGTTGGCTATTTCCAAAAGTGTTATATAAGGTTTAGTAAAAATAGAATCTAGACTACAGAGAACCTGTGTAATCCAATATATGAACTCCTTTTTTCTGTAATCACTTGAATACCCCTACATATCAAGCATACAAAAACAAACTCAAGAACCCAAATAATGGAAGATCCTACTAATCTCCAGAATGTATTATGGATGTGTTGTGCATAGCAACTGCAAATGCTTCAAACTTTTTCTTCTTTCACATTACTCAGATGCTTTATTAATTGGTCATGTGATACATTTCTTATGAGCAATTAACGCAAAGCTTCTCGGAGTATTGTCTCTAAACCACACCACAGGATAGTCAATCCATACGCCAAGTCAGTTACCAAGTTAAGATCTCTCCATTTGCATATGTTCCAAGAGCTTACCTTAGAAGGCACAAACAATTTAAGGTACTAAGAACAAAAGGATCTTCACCTTAACACAGAAGAATCAGGATTTCATTCGTACATCTACTATTGCTAAACTTATCACAACAGGAAAAGGTAAAAGATAAAAGGAAGAGAACTGCAATATGGAGGGCAGTCGCAGCACAATCAAGAGCAGAGGAGAATAGTCCCAGCAGCTAAGCTGCTCAGACTCTTCAAAAATGTCAAGGGGTGCGTGCCGGATTTTCACCAAAAGTGGTGTATTTTTGGAGAATTTGACATCGGTTCTGCAAGAGTCTGCGCAACTTAGCCCGAAAGTTATTTGGTGGACCACAAGAAAAAAAAATTCTAGGAATTCTAAAAACAAGAGCAGCCCCTTGCTCAAGATTAAAATGAACTGAATTATCACTTTTTGCTATTGGTGTAGTTCAGAGTATATAGATGACCCAGTGCCTATTGTAGACATTCTATGATCCTTATAAAGATGAAGGAGGGTCTAGGGATAGCTTTTTCTTTTCTTTATCTTTTGTTTTTGCCAGACGTACACTTGTGGAGGTTAGGATATGATGTAAATTTTTGGATACCAGCTTTGAGCTAATGATTGATATACAATTGTCACCTTTATTAAACAAAACAAAAAATAACTAAATTCATGTCATTTAATAACTCGGTTCGCTTTCTACTGAATCTTGGTTTTGTGGTCCGATAGATTAAAGATGATGATTCTCATCTCTGAGCCTTTGTGGACTCCTAGGTTGCTCAGACTCAGGTGTGGCTGCTCGATACAGGTACATACCTAGAGGTCAAATTCTTCATGAATTTTTAAGATTCGGAGATATGGATACGCGTGCGGGAATTCGCCTAAAATTTAAATATCTAAAAATAGAATTATTAAACCTAAATTATGAGATATTATGTGGAGCACTCCTGAAAAGGAGATTAAAGGAAAAAGAGTGACATAGAAATTTCTAAATAAAAGATATTCCATTTTCTTCAATTTCACCTTAGCTTTTGTATTGACTGTGAATTCAATAAACTGGCCAGACTTTTCTCATCGATTTTGGTCAAAGTACCCAAAATCAATTGACCAAATGGACACAGATCCCACACCCGTGTCATATCTACAGGGGTATGGCACCAAAAGTGAAGAGCCCGAGTAACTTAGGTGAACTTGTGCTAATCAGATGTTACATTACACTTTTTAGTTCAAATGTATGATATTAAATACTCCCTCTATTCTCTACCCCAATTTATGTGATCTGGTTGGTTGGAATCTCGAGATTCAAACTTGTAAAATTTGGCCATGATTTCAGCATAGAAACTTAAGTTTTTAAAAAATAAAATTTACATATTAGAAAACTATGTAATAGTATAAATCACAATAATTAACAACTTAAAATATCTAAAAGGCATACAAAGAAATATGGGTCAAAGAAAAACTTGGTAGACTCTCAATATTCCAGCTGTTCCACATAAATTGGTACAGGGGGAGTAATGTTTTGTAAAATATTACACTTCTTAATTCTCAACTTTGTAAGCTTAGAAGAGAGAACCCCAATACTTGTTGCTTCTATCATTATTAAGTGCTACTAATCATACACCTGGTAGAAGCAGTCTTTTGACGGAAGATACTGCAGCCAGACAGCACTATTAAACTTAAAAAAATAGCTGACGGACTCCACGTTATGTTGGAGGAAGCAAGTCCAGAATATGTCGGAATTGACCAATTCAGCAATTGAATGCTCCAGACAAATTTCAAGGGTAGCTGTAACACAGAAACAACACTCAAATCTTTCATCACATTCCATTCAATATCATAGAATTAGCACCAACTTTTATGAAAAAATAGGTGTACCACTTTGCTCATCCAACAATACGATAACATAGTGAGCTTGCTCAACACTCCTATAAGTACAACTTCTTCTACCCTGACCCATAAGTAAGGGTACAACCACAAGATAACAGCTTCACCTATACTAATCTCTCCTACCAAAATTTAGGCATGACACAGATTGGCATCTACTTAATGCTGGCAATGACCCTTTTACTTCTTCTAAAAGAACAGTGAAGATTTGGTATTGTTTTAAAGAGGAGAAAAAATGAAATGACTGAATTAATAGCTAGAATTCTTAACAGAAGAATCATTAGCAGCAGTGCTTATACATGCATCAAAATTACAAAAAAAATAACCTTCAAAGCACTTACATGAATAAGAAAGAAAAGATAACGTGCGTTTTTATATAACATGAGAGGCCAAGGAAGTAACAACTTCAATACCTTTGATTTGAATAGCAATTCCTCATCATGTCAACACCAAATTCTACTCACTAGGACTGGGATCAATAACCAATATCGCTTGGATCTCCAAGATACTCAGCAATTTGTTCAAGCCGCACTTTGAGTAAATCCTTTGTATCACCATCTCGGATAACTCCAGTCTCCTTCTCACTATCCTTCTCAACCAAGTGGCCATACACGCCTTTGTTCCTACCATACAGAACAAGAACCGGACCACCACGCTTAGGAAGAGCCGTCTCAAGCAATTCCTGATCCACACCTTGTATCAACTCCCTAGTTTCATCCATACATATATCACAACTCATCGGTCCAACCACATCCATAATTTCCCCTTTCTTTAGATACAATCTTCCCCTTTTCAAATCCTTACTTATAATCCTAACTCTGATGTGACTAGCAAGCCAAGATACTTTATCACTCCTTTCATCTCTACTTCTTCTGCTTTCCTTTTTCCTCTCCGTTGTTGCTTCATCTCTACTTCTACTTCCAGATGACTGTTTCCTAACCCCATCAAGATGACTCTTTTCTTCTCTAATCTTCAATTCTAACAACTTCTTCAAACACCTCTCCTCCTCCACTGAACCCAATTCGGCCAAGTCTCGTGCCTGAAGCTTCACCTCTTTGTCCGCAAGCTTTAAGATCACCAACTCTCCTCTGCTATTCACCTCCAAAACTTCTCCTTTCATTCCCATTTCCTTTCCTCTCACTACTCTCACTTTCTTCCCTACATATAATCCTTTCCCTCCTTTTTCTCTATCTATCTTCTCAATATAACCATCACTATGATCAACTTTAATACCTTCTTCACCTTTTTTCTTAATCGGCTTAACGCCTCCTTCAGCCTTACTACTAGGTTTTGGTACTTCAGGTATGAATCCAATCCCTTCTTTAGCTGTCCACCTTTTATACTCAACAACTTTAACATCCTCTTTCGCGTTCCGACCTATCCCTCTACCTTCAACCCACCCATAACCCTTCAACAAAGCAGCCCCAAATCCCTCCACTGGCATATCAGTATATTCATCAATCCCGTTATGCTCTGGCAACCTCTTCAAATCTTCCTTAAACTTATGCAACATCGGATCAATCACCTGTTTAGGGTTCGGGGTCGGATTAGGGTTAGGG